TCAAGGGCATGTTTCAGAGTCTCTTCTGACATCCATTTTGGTCTTTTCTTCCTTTCTTGTCTTTTTAATGACCTTTTGCTTTATTCATGGATGATGTTCTTGATGCCATCACACAATTCCTCTGGTTTTTGGTCATTGATGTTCAATGCATCAAATCCATTTTTCAGATGGTCTCTAAATTCAGGAGGGATATATATATATTCAAGTTCATATTTTGGCTCTCATGGACTTGTTTTAATTGTCTTCAACTTCAACGGGAACTTGCATGTGAGCAATTGATGGTCTGTTCCACAGTCAGCTCCTGGCCTTGTTTTGGCAGAAGATACTGAGCTTTTCCACTGCCTCTTGCCACTGATTCCCATGTACTCCATTTGGCGAAGTCCACATGAATAGCCATCGTTTGTGTTGTTGAAAAAAGGTATTTTCAGTGAATATGTCGTTGGTCTTGCAAAATTCTATCATGCAATCTCCAGCATTATTTCTATCACCAAGACTGTATTTTCCAACTACTAGTGATTCTTCTTTGTTTCCAACTTTTGCATTCCAGTCACCAGTGATAATTAACTCATCTTGATTGCATGTTTGGTCAATTTCAGACTGCAGAAGTTGGTAAAAATCTTCAACTTCCTCATCTTTGGCTTTGGTAGTTGGTACATACACCTGAATAACAGTAGCATTAACTGGTATTCCTTGTAGGCATATGGATATTATCTTATCATTGATAGCATTGTGCTTCAGGACGTATCTTGAAACATCCTTTGTTATGATGACTCCCACACCATTCCTCTTCAATTTGTCATTCCCAGCATAGTAGATCATATGATTGTCTGATATACAACAGCCAAAATCAGTCCATTTCAGCTCACTAATGCCTATGATATCAATCTTTATGCATTCCATTTCATTTTTGACAATTTCCAATTTTCCTAGATTCATGTTTCGCACATTCCATGTTCTGATTATTAATGGATGCTTGCAGGTGTTTCTTGTCATTTTGAGTCATGCCACATCAGCAAATGGAGATCTCAAAAGCTTTACTCCATCCACATCATTAGGGCTGGCTCTCCTTTCGGTGGCAGCTCTTCCCTAGTCGTTATCTTCAGTGCCCTCCGACCTGAGGAGCTCATCTTCCAGTACTCTTTAAGACAGTGTTTTAGGACTATTCATAAAGTTTTCCAGTAATATATCAGACAGTGTTCCACTCTTATTGTAAGATTTTCACTGGCCAATTCTTTGAGAAGTGGATGGCCTCTTCTTTCTTCCAAGTCTATCTTATTTTGGAAGTTCCACTGAAACCTGTCCACCATGGGTAACCCTGCTAGCATTTGAAACACTGGTGGCACAGCCTCCAGCCTCACAGCAACATGTAAGTCACCACAGTATGACAAACTGACAGACAAGTTCATCTCCCTTAGTTAGGCCAAACCACTCTGCTCACTTCCTGGTCTCCCTTAGCTGTTCTAAACTGTCACCGGCTCACTTACTGGTCCCTCTTAGCTTCTCCAAACTAAACAGCCAATAAACTTAGCAAATACATTTTATTAAGAACCATTTAAGAGGGTACTAAAGTAATTAGGAAATTTTGGCCTCAACCTGTTCCAGAATCCAAATCAAAAATTCAAATCACAATAAAATTATACCATCATGATCAAATTATACAAAAACACACACTAAAAACTTTCTCACCCCTCCAAGTATTATATGAAGGAGTCTTACTGTAAAGTTGTCAAGGGACATTTTGGCAAGAGCCTCATGTATTTGGAATGCAAAATTAATGTATTGCTCAACAGGTTTATTGTTTAAATACACACACACACATATACTATAAAACTATTAAATTATGACATTCTAGTCTTAATGCCAAAGCTTTTAATTTATTAAAAACAAGTTATTAAGGAAGTACTGCTCTAAGCATACTTATACCCATACATATACATACACACAACACACCTAAACTACAGGTGTTTTTCTTAGGCCACCATTAGGAATATATTATAACTTAATCAAACCTAATCAGAAATCACTATTTGATTTTTTTTTTTTTTTTAATAATAAAAAGCATTCCTTTAGTCTGGGCTCAAGTTTTGGTTTAGTTTTGTTAATTACTAGCACTGTATGAATGTTATAATGCACCAAGGGAATGCCCACATTCTGTTCAAAGGTATCAAATACAGAATTTAAAGGCTATGGAGAAGC